TGCTGAAAAAAAGAAACTGGAGCCACCGGTCACCACTAGTCCAAATCTGACAGTTCCATGGCCTTACCAATGGACTGGTTGTGTTGGACCACCTGATCAAACGAGGGAGGGAGAGGAGTAGTTCCAATTTGGAACAAGTGAGTCCCAGGCAGCGTGTGGTAGGTGTAGCTGTAGCGAAGACGATGGACAAATGATAAGTGTACCCAAGTGAATGGGACAGCGATGAACATGGGCGACGCAAGGGGATGAACCTTCTCCAGCTCAAAAACTACCCACCCACGCTCCAACCAGGCAAGACGAGCGACCGATGTTTTGATAGTATATGATGGCAGATCGACGTCATGAAGATGGACCTGTTGCCCTATTTAGACCGGCCGCCGGGGCTTTGCTGATATCAGCAGTGGCACGTGGTAGTCAACGGATCGGCGACGGAAGCGGATAGGAAGTGGTGACATCAGAAATGGTGGGGGAGCAAAGAAGATGAGGAGGAGGAGGGTGGAGGTGACGAGGAGGTGAACTAAAATGGGGACCCAGAAACGACCGTCGGGTGAGAATAAAAAGGAGAGGAAGGGGCCCATGGTGGGGCTAGGCAAAGGAAGGGGAGTAAGGGAAACGACAAAAACGAGGGCGCAATGCAATGTGTAGCCAGTGGCGACGCGAAAATTTGCCGAAATGCCGAAACGCGGAAAGTACCGGATGGAAAAGCAAAGGTGAGCGTGACTGGATTGCCTAATAGAGGTGGTGCTGATCAGCCACAAGTTCAAAAAGGGCAATATTAATTACTATTCCACGTGGCACTGTGCCTGTGTGGCGCAAAGGCGAGTCTTTTTGAATATTCGCTTCGTTATTGACACCTGTCCATGCTACCAATCAACTTTGGTGCATGACAGCGAGAAGGTGGAGTTTGAACAAAATGAAAAGTGCCACATGGCACAGTGTGTGAAAACTACACAAGAAAGTTGAAGAGGAGAATGAAATTTAAAGGTCCGAAAATTGTGTATCGTAACACCCCCCTCTAAGGCTCGACTTCCAGGCGAGACCAGATGCCGGAGGTAGTAGTTAAATTTTTGGGCATAGGTTGAAAAAGGGAATTAAAAAGGTTTGAATCCATGCCTCTAAGCTTCCTAGGAGTCGAGGGATTCTTAGAATAAAACTCTTGAACAACATCATGGGAGTTATTCAGATGGGCTTCTGGTTCCCATGTTCTGTCTTCATCTCCATAGCCCTTCCATAGGACTAGGAATTCCAGTTTTCCACGCTTCAAGTGTGCATCCACCACTTGTTTGACTTTAAACTCTTCTTCACCTTCCTGGGTGACTACAATCAGTCCGGGCTGGTCCACACGCTGTCCCGGCAGCGGCCCTTTGTAAGGTTTCACATGGCTGATATTGACCGTGGGTACTACCCTCATCCATTTTGGGAGTTTCAGCTCCACTGCATTGGGTTTGACTTTCTTAATCCGGTAAGGACCAATCCACTTTTTGGTCAGTTTTCTAGACTGCCAATCTTTTAATTTTGAGTGGTCTGTATCTAACCAGACCAGGTCGCCAACCTTGTAGTCAGGAGCCTTAGAGTGTCTACGCTCTGCCCTGTCTTTCATCTGCTCTGCAGTTTTGAATAGCGCCTTGCATGTTTTGTCTAAGACAGACTTCATGTCTTTAGCCATGTTCTCAGCAGCCTTGTTCCTGCTTTTGCCAGGTTCTACACCCATTCTGGGAAGGTACGATCTTGTAACCTCGAATAGTGCTTTTTCTGTAGCCGACAACTGTTTGATATTATATGGGAACTAGGCTATCTTTAGCCACTTGGCCCAATCTGTCTGCCTGTCATTAATAAATATGCGGAGGTATTGCTTTAATTCTTGATTGAGCCTCTCTGTTTGCCCATCAGTCTGC